TCCCAGAATTCAGGTGACATGGTCCTTGTACACTGGCACCCTGTCTTAATTGTGTTAATCTTATCTCATCTCTTTCCCCTTGCTTCTTGCTGCTTGTTTCAGATTTACTTACTAAACCAAGTGATTTGTGTATCTTAATTTGTCTGTGAGCCTTTCTGTCCCATGACCTCTGAGTAAGCTTATTGGTAGGATGCTTGGCAATTACAACAGACAGTTTCCCACACAACAGAAAGTTTCCTAAATTTAGATTGAGATGTTGCGTTTTCTGCTTCCATGCTGCTAGCGTGCTAATACATTTTTTAAAAGATTATGAGAATCAGTCTGGTCTCTGTTTCTTAATGTACCCTGGGACCCTAAGGAGATGCTAAGGGCCCATGGTTTTAAAAAGAGAGTCCCTATTAGTCCTACACTAGGTGTAAACAAAGGGCAGTGAGCGTTCTCTTGGAGGATTTATTTCTGGTGCCTACCCCTTCCGTTGCTCATCTACTATTTCCTTTTTTCCTTGTTAAACACTTCAAGAGCAGCATAAAATATTGTTCTCTTTCTTCCCATAACCCCCTAACCTTACCCCATAACCCCCTGTAGTCTAGGCTTCACACTCACTGCCCTGCTGAAATTCATCAGTTGAATGTCTCAATGACATTCTAACGAACAAATCCAAAGGTTAGTTCTCATTTCTTACCTACTTTGTCCTCTTGTGTCTTTTGGCACTCTTGATCACTCCCTACTTGACACACTATCTCTTCCTGGCTTCTCTGGTACTCCAAGCCCTGGTTCTTACCCTTCTACCCCTTCTGCTCATTTCTGAGATATAAACTTTAAATCATGCTTCTCCATCTCCTTGGGTGGTGTAGGGGATCAAAATATGCCACCCCCAAATATGCCACTTTGGCATAAGGATTACTTTGAGCTGAAGACACTTGAGAAAAAGCACAAACCAAAAAAGCTCTCTGCCCCCATCTCCACTTGCCTAAACTCTTTTTTTTTTTGAGGATGATTAGCCCTGAGCTACCTCCTGCCAATCCTCCTCTTTTTGCTGAGGAAGGCTATCCCTGAGCTAACATCTGTGCCCACCTTCTTCTGTTTTATATGTGGGACGCCTACCACAGCATGGCTTTTGCCAAGCAGTGCCATGTCCGCACCCGGGATCTGAACTGGCAAACCCCTGGCCACCAAAGCAGAACATGCGTACTTAACCACTGCGCCACTGGCCGGCCCCTCCACTTGCCTAAACTCTTAATCACCAGATACTCTTACTAGCCCAGAGATGGTGCGAAGAGGATTCTGCATAACAAACCTTACTAAAACAGTCCTTGTTTTCCATTATTTTCCACTATATATTTACCTTCCCATAGTTTGCCATGCTTGGAAGCCTAAAACCCTTTTCCTTTGCCTTGTCACTTCTCTACAAATTTCTTATTCTTTGTTAAAATGCTATATGAGCCAAGGTCTAAGCACTCCTTTGAGTTGCTTATCACTGAGTTTCTCCTGTGTGTATGCATGCTGCATGTGTTAATATACTCTGTTATTTCTTTCTTGTTAATCTGTCTTTTATCAGTCTAATTTGTAGGGTATCTGCCAGAGAACCTAGGAGGGTAGAGGAAAAAGTTTATTTTCTTCCTCTATAATGTTTTTTCTTGTCTCTGTTGGCATCCCTTCCATCTCCATCCCATTGGCCCTAGAGAATAAATGTATAGAAGCAGGCCCAGCAAAGTGAACAGTGGAGAACAGAGGGTTCTTGGTAAGTGGTTTTTGTTCTCTGGTAGAACGCACCTCAGTGTGTGTGGAGTGATATGAGACATGTAACAAAGACCTAGTGCTAATGGCTCTCTCCAACAGACTTGCTACCCCACCACTCTTCAAGCAAAATGCTCCCAGAGATAGGCGTATAGAAGACAGGTCAGGGTAGTGGCAGCGTGGTCAATACAGCACATTCTGCGTTTTGGAGCTGCTTGATAATTTTATGTGAAGAAGCTGACAGTAGATTCAGAGACCATAATCTGAGAGTAGAAATGTGAGTGCTAAACACCACAAGGATTTATTACTGCTACCAGCTGCTCTTGGGCAAATGGCCAAATCAACGTGCCAGGGACCTGTCTGACTGTGACCTTGCCTGTGTGTATGTGTGTGTGTATCTAACCTACTGGGATTCCTAAGAGATAGCTGTCTTAAAAAAATCATAAAAATAAAGAGAACAAGACCACAAATAATCAGTCTGGTCTACTGGCTGGAGGGGACTAATGGGCAGTGATGCAAGAGGGCCATAAAATCTGAATCATATCTCTATATGTAGAATATGTTGTTAAATGCTAAAGATTTTACTTACCTCATTAATTAAATGAGAAAAACCAGGCCAGATGTTACAACTTATTCAAAGAAGTCAAAGAAGAACAAATTTACATAGAGTAAAGGAATGTTGAAATTAATGGGCAAATGAAAGCGAAACTGGCTTGGGGTGAGGCAAATGGGTTGTCCTCCACTTGAACAGAATCTGTCTGCACATCCATAGACAAGAATTATTTTGCACTGTTATCACTTCTTCCGTGGGTCAACCAATTATTTTGTGTTGCTAACAAACCTACAGAGTTGTCAAATAGCTCTCTTAGAGTTAAATCAGATAACCAGGAAAAGTGTGCTCTAGGCAATGCACAGTTTGTCACTGAAGCAAACTTTTCACTACAATGTAAAGTTCTGGAAGGATACACAAAACGCTGTTAAAAATCTTTGCCCTGCAGAAAGATGGGGAAGATCTCCATGTTTTCTTTCAGTTCTGGAAAATTGGCCTGTTTTGTGAGAACGTATTCATGTGAAGTTTGTTCTAAAAAAAAGAAAACAACTTTTAAAAGTTGATTTGAGTCGAGTGCTATATAATCTAAAGGATAAGCACACAGCTCTGCAGACCCAGTGACTGGGTTTGAATCCCAGATTCACCACTTACAGCAGTTTGACCTTGAACAAGTTACTTCCAAGTCAGCTTCTTTGGCTGCAAACTGGAATAAATTGATACCATCCTTCCTGGGATTATTGTGAAGATTAAATGAGAAAATGTACGCAAGGCACTTAGCACAATGGCACATGGTAAACACTCATAATATTGCTTATTAACATTATTATTATTAATTTCTATGAAACTCAAGTAACATAGAAGGGCAAGACCTGGAGAAGGGACTGCGAGGCCAAAAATCATGAGAGTCATTCCTTGAGTACCGTCTTTAGAGGGCCTCGATTGCAGACAATGCAAAGTTCAAATATGTGTTAGTACCTCGGGAAGAAAAGTTATGACTGTGAAGAGGTTCAGAACAGGCTCCCCCAAGATGTGCAATTTGGCATGTAGAATATTTTGAGCTAAAGTCAATCAAGACCCTGCAGGCTCAAGAGAATCTTTTAACTTTCCCTTAAAGAATTTAAATTGAGGAATTTGCCCATAATAAGGGTTATTACCAAAAATTACTTCTTCTGACATATCTGTATGCAGGGTAAACCTCTCATTACTGAACATCTGCTCTTCTTATTGTCCTGTGGATTATCCTTCTCCCCTTTGAAACCTTGGGCCTGTATCCCATTCCTTGGATCAAGATGGCATGTGTACCTCATTTTACCTTTCTTTCTTGGAAGCTCTCGTGTATGTGGGGTCTCTGACTCTGTTGGGTATGTAGGTTCCCATACATACAAAATTAAATTTCGTTTTCTTTAGTTAACCTGTTTTATGTCAATTTAATTCTTAGACCAGCCAGAAGAACCTAGAAGGGTAGAGGAAACTTTCTTCTGTAGGGAGGAAGACTTTTCCTCTACCTAATGTGGGTTCGTCTGGCCAGAGAACGAATTAAATTCACATGAGACAGAATAGCAGGAGAAAATTAAACAAAGCTTTATGAGGACCATGGCCCGGGGCCTTTCCTCCTGAAGGAAGAAAGGGTACCAAAGAAGTGGGGTGCACAGAGTGGTTATAAACCCCCAAACGGGATATTTCACATATGATTGAAATGTCCCTTCCACAATAGTCACAAGATTGCCCCGTCCTTCGGCACAGCACTTGATGGACACAGCAGGTAGTGGGTCTGCTACCTTGGAGGGCGTAGCAGGAGGCAAGTCTATTGTCTGGAGCTGGGTGGTCACAGGTGAGTGCAGCAATTGTTTCCTAGCCTAAGGAAAGAGGCTTAATCCTTAAAGAAATGCCAACATTGGGAGGAGGAGGGAAGTCAGTTACAGGAGCTTACCAGAAAAGCACAATAAACAAATACAGATTTAAGTCCTTGCCTTCCCCGTTGGTTAAGAGTTTCTAGAGACAAGGTCATCTCCTTTCTTCTTCCTGGTACAGAGAGGGAGGCACCTTTACAGATGGAGATTTCCTTTACAACGTAAATGTCTCCTAACAAAGGGCAAGCAAGTTCCACCCCTCAGAGCCTCCTTCCCTGTCCCAGTTTATCAAAAGCAGTCAGCCTCAAATAATCCTCATGCCAAAGAGACATATCTTGGGGTGGCCAAACCCAGGTCCCCACACTTCCTCCCTCACAGCTGGAGCAGTTGAAAGTGACCTGTATTAGCCAGTTCATAATATCTTAGAACTTTAGAGTTGGAAGTAATCTTAGTCCAATTTTTTTCTTTGCAGGCAATTTTTATCGACATGTCACTTGCTTTGATGTCACAGTAAAGCATAAAGGATGGTAATGGGAGGGCCATTATAAGTGAAGGAGATCAGAATGTGCTACCCCAAAATATGCCAAAATATTTATTATTTAGAGCTAAAGGCAATTCAGAATCAACAGATGCAGAAAGAAGTCTTCTTGGAGATTCCCTTATCTGACTAAAAGTGAGAACTTCTGAAAAATGAGGACTACCACAAATCCTCCTTCTAGGGGAATTTTATGTCTGTGAAGAAGATGTGAAGTTGGCACTGAGATGAGTCAACACAAACAAACCTTACTAAAATGATCCTTATCTTTCATTAGTTTCCTCATATATATGTATATATATATTATATTTTTTTTTTTTTGAGGAAGATTAGCCCTGAGCTAACATCTGCCACCAACCCTCTTTTTGCTGAGGAAGACTGGCCTTGAGCTAACATACATGCCCATCCTCCTCTACTTTGTATGTGGGACACCTGCCACAGCATGGCTTGACAACAGTGCCATGTCTGCACCTGGGATCCGAACTGATGAACCCCACGCTGCCGAAGTGGAACATGCGAACTTAACTGCTGGGCCACTGGGCCAGCCCCACCTCATATATGTATCTTTCCATAATTTACCACCTGCAAGCCCAAATTTCCTTTCCTTTGTCTAGTCACTTTATCACCCTTTGTTAAAATGGCATATAAGCTCTCAAGTTTAACCCCCTCTTTAAGTTTTTGCTTCTTTTCTGTGAAGCCCCCATGCAAATAAAATTAAAATATTAACATCAATAAAAGTTTGTATGCTTTTCCCCCTATGTCCTGTCTTTTGTCAGTTTAATTTGTAGGCAGCAGTTACAGCAGTTAAGAGAGTAGAGGAGAGGTTTTTTTTCCCCTGGAGAAATAGCTGTCAGGAAGACCAGGTTCCATGGCAATCCCAGAGGCCCAGAAATGGGAAAGATGGCTGATTGTGAAAAGGGAGCTGAGGAGCCAAGCTTCCTGTTCCTCTAAAGATAAGAAAGGCTTTCTCGCCAACACCCCTCAACTTCCTCACCCGGCACTTCACTCTGATCGTCCATTTCCTATCTCTCTTCCTTTCTCTTTTCCGCTTTCCCTTTGGCCTCTCTGGAACAGATTGAAAATCAAGCAAAGTTTAATGAGTTTCTACCAGAGACACTATGTTTTTGCAAACATTTACTTCTCTGTCTTCTGATGTATCGCACAAATAGAATCCTTCCTTCAGAATCAAGCCAGGAAATAAAAACAGTAACTGGCTTATCCAACCTTGGACATATTTGGAGAAAAACCTTTTTCTCCACTGACTTAAGTCTTGCAGCCAGGGGCCTGCAAATTAAACTGAAAATAGACAGATTAACAGGAGAAAGGAAAACAGGTTTTCTTCCTACACTTGCAGGGGCATTTAGAGAAAGAGGCTCCCTGACTGCTGGAGATAAGGGTTTATATACCAACTTAATAATGGAAAGGGAGTGGGGAGAAAGGCTTCTATGGGAAGAGCAAGTGTGCTTTTGGGGAAACAAACAGAAGGTATGACAGTTTGATGATGTTCGTTTATGCAATTTCTCATCGCTGTGGGAGTGGTCAGTCCTCTCCCTGGGAATGAAGCTCCCCTGCAGAGGGAATTTGTGGCAGCTTCTCTCCCAGATGCCTCTGCCTTTTAGTCAGACAAGGGAAGCTTTGAAAGGCTTCTTTCTGCGTCGGCTGTTATCCTCAGTTTAAAATAATCTTCATATCAAGTCTAGGGATCTGAGTAGGTCTCCACAATGTTCTGATCTAAATGGAAAGAAAGGCACTTGAAAGGAAATTCCATAAATTTGGGGGGTTTTGCATATATAATTTCAGATGACACATTCAAACTTATTTTGTAGAAAATAATAAGTTGTATGAAAATACAGTGATCTTTTTACTGTAAGTTTCTATGAAAAAGGCTGCTGAACTCTGACTATCAAAGTCAGTGGCTCCTGTTTTAAAGAGCACAGAGCATATGTAATAATGACTTTTTCCCATAAGTTTGAATTTCCTATTCTACAGTGTGAAGGAGAAAATTCAGTAGAGAACAAAACATTTAATACCTTTCAAACTTGTCACCTGTCATCCCTAGAATATGGGAACAAGGAGCACCTTGATGTCCTGGGGGCATGCGAGAAGTACCACCATTTTGTGAGAGTGCCGAGCATTCCATCCCTCTCCTGTTGTGTTCACCCTAATGTTTAGAGCTATACTTTCCAGCCCCCTGTATTTTGTGAGTTTCTTCTGTATCTCTGTGCCATGACATTTTCCAGTTTGAGGTACTGGGGCAATCCGACTGTTTTGTGAGCGTATAATAGAAGGCCACCAACTTGCTCTCACAATATGATGTTTTTATCTGGCCAGTCAAGTGTCCTCAAACTGTGATTTAGTTTAAGCTTGTGGCTTCATCCAAGTCTGTCTTCTTTCCTGACTTGCCCTGAACTCTCAAACTCCCAGTGCCTTTCTTAGGACTCTTTTTGGTAGATCCAAGTCTACAATGAATAAGTGCTTTATTGTCTATGTATTCATTCAACAAATATGAATTAAGCATTTATTATTTGCTGAGCATGTTCCAGACTTCTGGAAACACAAAAAGAATAAAACACATTATGGGCTTTCATAAATCTCAGTCTAGTAAAGAAGAAAGACATGCAAATAAACTCTTGATATATGATGTGATATGTGTTATAATACAGATGAGTACAACAGAAACTTCCTTAAATGACCTCTTTTTAACCTACTCACTGGAGTAACCAATGCTCATGATTCCTTTAGTAAAATATTTTTGCTATCCATAGCAGTTTGAACATTTTCAGTCAGTAGATTCAGGTCTACACACTCAACCACTTCTGCTTTTAACAGTCACATTGCATTCTCACTAATGGATGTGCAAGAACAATAAAGGGGCTGGCCCCATGGCCAAGTGGTTAAATTCATGCAGTCTGCTTCAGCAGCCCAGGATTTTGCTGGTTCAGATCCTGGGCGTGGGCCTAGCACCGTTCATCAAGCCATACTGAGTGGTGTCCCACATAGTACAACCAGAAGGACCAACAGCTATAATATAGCACTATGTGCTGGGGGCTTAGGGGAGAAGAAGAAGGATAAAAAAAAGATTGGCAACAAATGTTAGCTCAGGGGCCAATCTTTAGAAAACGATAAGAAGAAAAAAGTGAAATTTGCTCAACTGTTATTTATTATAAACGTAAAGTAATTGAAACAATGTATAGCGTAGGGGGATAGAATTTTGATATTTGAAAATGAAGCATGGCAGATCAGTGGGGTAAAGAGAGACTATTCAATAAATTGAGCTGGAAAAATAATTATCCATATAAAAAAATGAAATTGGATCTCTAACTCACACCAACCACAGAGAGATTAAGGATTTGACTGTCAAAGTAAAATTTTAAAACTTTGAGTAGCAAATATATAAATGTTTCTGGCTTTGGGCTAGAGAAGGAGTTCTTAAGACACAGAAAGTACTAATCCTAAAGGATGTGAAACTTCTGCCCATGTTAAAATTAAGAAAATGTGTTCAACAAAAACACCTTAAAGAAAACAAAAAATCAAGACACAAACTCAGAAAAGATATATTCAACACACATAACTGACAAAGGATTAGTATCAACTATAAAAATAACAACTATAAATCAATAAGAGAAGGACCAACCACCAGAAAACAAAATGAACAAAGATCATGAACAGGTTTTACATCCAAAGAAGAAACACTAAGTTCAATAAAAATAAAGAGACACTCAACTTCAACAGAAATCATGACCACAATCAAGACCATAATGAGATGCTATTTTCTACCCATTTGATTGGCAAAAATGAAGAGATCTAATAATGTCAAGTACTGGGGAGGATGTGGACCAAGAGTATGTCTTAAACATTGCTGGGAAGGATATATATTTGGTTTAGGCATTTTTAAGGGAAGTAACCCTACTCCCAACTATATACCTAAGGGAAATTCTAGCTTATGTACACCAGGACCCAAATGCAGGAATGTTTGCTATACCACTGTTTATAACAGTAAAAACAAACAAACAAAACAGCTAAATGCCCTTCAACGGGAGAGTGAATAGATCGAAAATATTATATAGCAGTGAAAATGAATAAATAAAATTGGGTATATCAATATGGAAGAATCCTGGTAATCTTACATTGAGTGAAATGTTACACTCAATGTAATCTTACATTGAGTGAAAAAGCCAAGACTGATAATATTATATATAACATGATATCCATTTGACAGAAATTCAGAAATTACGAAAATTAAACAATATATTTTGGGGCACACGCAGATATATGTGTTGAAAAAACAACTTTAAATGACAACGCGATACAATCAGACACAGAGCATGTGGGGTACTCTACAAGTTAAGAGACGTGTGCTCTGCGAAAGGATTTGAACTGAATACTGCAGGGAGTAGGAGGTCATTGAAAGCTATTAAGCAGGGGACAAACATTTTCAAATTTGCATTGAAAAAATATCATTCCGGTAGCTCTGTGGAAGATCATCTACAAGTACATAGAAACAAAACCCTCCTTGGTTAAAGCATAAGAATAACACGAACAAATGAAAAGCACATAAAACCATGCTCTTTTCTTTCTTTCTTTTTTGGTAACAGTTAAATGAAGTATACAAATATACTCTCAAAACTTCTATTTGAAAAGGAAAGAAAATGTCGAGTGCTCCATTCATTTATTCAACAATTATTTTCTGAGTGCCTACGGACGCCAGGACTACTTAAGGCAATGGGGATGTAGGATTGGAAACAATAAAGCTTCTTCCTTCTTTTTTCTTTTAACAGCTTTGCAAAATATGATCCATATACCATACCATTCATTCATTTAACGTGTATAATTCACTGGTTTTTAGTATATTCACAGAATTGTGGAACAATCATCTTAATTGATTTTAGAGCATTTTTATCACCTCAGAAAGAAAGCCTGTACTCTTTAGCTATCACTCCCGTATCCCCTCAGACTGCCTAGCCTTAAGCAACAACTAATCTACTTTCTGTCTCTATAAATTTCCCTATTCTGGACATTTCATATAAATAGAATCATACAATATGTGGTCGTTTGTGTCTGGCTTCCTTCACTTAGCATAATGTTTTCAAGGTTCATGCACGTTGTAGCATGGACCAGTAGTTCATTGTGTTTTATAGCTGAATAAATATTCTATGGTGTTGTATGGATACACCACATTTTAGTTATCCATTCATTAGTTGATGGACATTTGGGTTGTTTCTACCTTTTGGCTCTTATAGTATTGCTTCTATAAATATTCATGTACGAATTTTTGTGTAGACATATGTTTTCACTTTTCTTGGGTTTATTCCTAGCAATGGAATTGCTGGGTCGTATAGTAATTCTATGTCTAACTTTTTGAGGAGCTG